ATATCTTCCAGCCTTGTGACATGTTAAAGAAGACAGTTTAAGTTTAAAATGCTTCACTTGGCTGCCTATCTTTAATTACTTCTGCTCAGATATAAGTGTTTCAATAGGATAAAGTGCAAAATGTTTAGCTGGTTTTGTCATCTTTCTTTGTTGGTTTAATCTGTAAACATTAATCTGTAATTGGACCTGATGAATGTTCATCAATCACAGCTACCAAAAAACTAAATGCAGCCCAACAGAATCAAACAGCAAGTAGTCATTAATGCAATGAAAACAGAAGCGATGAAATGCGACATATTGGATGTTTCTTGATCTCATATTGACTGATGGATGGATTGGCAAGAGCTACAGTTGTAACAGAACCAGCTGTAGCATGAAACCTGAAAGGAACCGCTGACATATCTCTGGTGGATACCTCTCTCAAACGCCTCACAATGAAAACTGAGAGCATTATATCAGTGCAACAAAGAATTTTGCAATCCCCCAATGCATTCTGTGAATGCTCTGTCTGCAGTAGCTATGAAATACAAACTGGTTTCCGTCTACTGATATTGATAATTCAGCATGTTATTCAACCGTGACCTGCAAAATATTGGCTTCTACTAATGAGAATGTTCATGAAAGTGCAAATGACCTCATTTAGTTTTTTTTTTCTCCTTCTCTTCCCCATCAAATATTAACCTGACAGCCCTGCCAATAATCCTAATGAAAGTCTACCATAAATTGGCTTGGCAAGCAAAGGAAACACTGCGAACTGGGTTTTTGCAGTCATTTGCACCTGCCAAATGTTGGCACTGCAATCACCCGGGACAGACAAACCTTCATCAAAAGTAACACCAACTCAAGAAATCTCATTTTCAGTTACTTGGATTCCTACACAGGATGTGAGGGAAGGAGTGTATTATCAAAGGGGAGCTGAAGCAAATGCACAGATGAATTTCTGAATTGTGCACCTTCAGGTTATAAGGCCTTAAAATGATTCTAATTCATCACAGAGGGTTATTATTTTCCAATTACACGGCTCTCATTTGAAATAGGAAGTGAGAGCTATTAGATGAAGATCACCCTGACTTGGATGGAAATAAAAAAAAAAAAACAGCGTGCAGTCCTTGAAAGAAAGCACATCTAGGAGAAGAAATATTGATGGCCTTTGTCTAGTGACCCGATGATCAGATGCGAGCAAATTTAATTCAGTTGGCTTTCTATACGGACACGATTCTCATTTAATATGACCAGAGTTTGAGCAGAGTAAACATGATTACGGGCAGCAAACAAACATGCCCGCTGACAATCTTTAAAGGGGAATCTGATTGATTTTCTCAGCAATAAGCTATTATCTGCAATCAGTGGCCTTCAGAAGAGAAAGGGTCATTTGGGAGGCAGATGCACAACAGCACATTGCTGCTAGTAGCAAAATGCTTGGAGCTTATTTTTTAACATAAAAGAAGCACACGTGTCAAGGACAGAGAGGCAATCCACGGGATTATCAGTCTTTTTAGACGGGCGTCTGAATTTACCTGTTACAGCCCATTGAGCTTAATCACACAACACGGTGTGGAGAAGAGAACGGGTGTCATACAAGGTTATTAGATGAGAGAGGTGTTTATTTGGTCTACAAAAGGGTGAGATGCAGTATTTGAGATGGAAAAAAAACAGGTGTCAGTTGAAACAAAAACATACAAACAAGATGTTGGCAACGTGGCTTGATGGGTGAAGGCAAATGAGCATCTGCTGAAAATTTATGTCAGTTTTAAGTGATTTTCCAAGAGATTATAACATAAAATGAGATGCTTTGAGCTGAAGTGTTCCAGCTCAAACCAGCTGGAACTCTTAAAACAGAAATTTGGACTAATTTGAATTCCCAGCCCTTGGTCAAATATGAACCGATCCAGTGCTGGGTTGAGGGAACCCAAGAGGATTGGCTATGGGTTAGACCCAGTTTCTTTGGTTAGGTTGTCAACACAAATAAATGGAATCAAGTCTGGGCTGAACAACGTGATATAATTTTTAGTATATCACAATGTTAGTTCCATTTTCCTCTCGTCTACTCTTACTTTTTTGGAACACCACAAAAAAAGAATGACGACCCCAAATACTACTCTCCCTGAGCATCTTCGTCGCTGAAATCTTTATTTGAACAGGTCAACATGGATAGGAAAGCTCAATCAAAAAGGTCAAATACTTCACAAGTAAACCGAGCCTGAATACATTGAACATACCAATAAATCCAGTCAACATACCTTTTTTGTCACACATTGACATTGCAATGGCAGTTGTGTGTCAATGTATTATGCAAATCTATAACAAGTGATTGTAGTGTAACCTTTTGACCACCAGAAATATAATGAAAAAGAGTTTAAAAAGTTTGTGGGGAAGTGGAACTACCTCCAAAAGTAGGTCTGGTTGTTTGGTCTGCACCAGGGCTCATTTAAGCATATTCACACCTGCACAAAGGATCTGAACTAGCAAGGGAAACTCGTCTGGCCATTTTAATCTCCCTTCAGTGCTCCGTCTGGGTTTTTTCCCACTGAAGTGGATTTCTCCAGTAGAATTTGAACCGGGTCAATCAGCGATCAGAACGAGAAGTTATGAATGATGACTTTGATTTTCTGCACCGTCTTAGAACTGAGGAATTTTGAAATGGCAGCAGAGTAAGTGAACAAAGCTGTTTAGTTCGTGTTAGCCTCAGTTCCAAATACTGAATTAACATTAACAACTGATGCATTTGGTTCATCTCTTGTTGTTTATGGTTGTTTACAGTGCTGGCAGTTTCCGGTAAGCTTCATAGTATCGAACCGGTGCATTAAAAATGTCACGGCCGAATGTTAGCTATTGGGTAATATTATAAACTTCAACAAAGCCAACTCCAGCGACCAATCATTTCTAATAGCCGATAGTCAACAGCCTTTGTACGAAGTTAAGTGTTAAATGGACCAGAGCCTGGTTTTTACCAACATTTAAAACAGACTCAAAGTCTCAGGTGTGAATACACCCGTGGAGAAACTGACTCCATTCCCAGGAAGACTGATGTGAATTGAAATCCTTTCCATGAGCAACAGAAAAAGACTCTGTGACAAGGTGGGGCCCTGGCAGAATTTCACTCGCTCTTGGAACAACCTCAGCTTTGTGGAAAGAATGTGGACATGATTCTGACTTTGGGTCTGAAAGAGCCAGATAGTCATTAAAGTCATGCAAGAAACCCAATATAAGACATATTAGAGTTTCAGGCCTTTTACAAATCCACAAAAACAAGAAATGGGAAATCAAACTCTAATAACCCCCTCAGCAATTCTGTGAGATCAATATCTGATTAGTATATGCTTCCCTTAAGTTTTAATGTAAAACATATTTATCCTCATCACTTTTATGCTAATGTATCATATTTTCTCATGAGAAAAATAAATTAAAGTAAGCGAGACCTCTTCCTGGTGAAAACCCTTAGCAGTGTGGGAGGTGTTGGCCTGAAATCTCTGCACAGCAAGTAAATTTGTTAAACTGCCGTCTTCATTAGCACACACTCAAACTCACAGTTTCCAGTCGTGGAAGTAGAGGGAGAGGAGCTTGTTGTTTCTGCAGTAATATTTTTACTCTTTAACTGTCATTTCTCTGGAGGGGGCACAGCAACACTTCTGACTCCAACCTTTAACATGAACTTAAACAATTTGTGACCGCAGTCTCCACTCCACGTCTCGTTGTGCTAGACATACTGCCATGGAACAAGACAATAGAAAGAATGGCACATGGTAATTATTTGCAGTCAACGGTTCTGCTTCCACTCAGTTTAAAATATGCTGAGTCCATCAACTAAAGATCAAATTCTGGTGTTCAAGACTGCCAGGTTTTCTTTATGCAAAGAACCTTAATGGATACAAGACAATTTATGTCTAACTATGCACAAATGTTTTAGCCACTTTAGTCAGTTAATGCTTCATCTGACTAAGGGATAAAACAAGTTTATGTCCTTCAAGCATTTTAAAAAGTGAATCACTCTGTAATATATTCTGCCTTTATGAATTTCAAATTAACGTGGGTTTATACATAAGTCATTTCATATTGGCAGCTGCCAGCAGGGCTTGTAATTTCCCCTGGCATGACTTCAGACAGACTCCTGATAGTGGGCCCTGATGGGTCTTAATGGAACTTCAGCGAGGAAAATGGACTAAATTTGCATGTTGACAAAGGAAAGGAAAGCAACAAGATAATGGAGGTACTGTACCACAAACCAGAAGCTAAGCTTGATTTTTTTGGGCTGAATGTGTCAGAAGAGGCCAAGAAGGCCAACAGCTTACTCAGGAGGTTTTCTGCAAAGAGCAGAAAAAATTTGCCTTTAGTTTAATGATTGGACAGACTGGCTTAAATGCTGTCTGGTTGCGTAAAGGCCACAGTAACATACTGTGAAGAGGAGAGGAAAGAAAACGTTCCAATCTGGTCGCTGAATGAAATACAGGTAACATTCACACAGATAGATGGATATAGAGAAAAAAAAGAGAAAATATATAATGCACCCAAGATGTACTTCAACATTTAATATGTTTAATTTATGTTGGCCAACAGTAGTTAACTTATATGCTATGGTTTAAGCACTCAAGGGTCTGAAAACCATGTGAAGCATGATTAAAGGGAAAATAAAATAAATTTAGTCTTAAAATCTAAAAGTTGTTAGAAATATTAAACGAATCAGGACCAGTCTTTTCACAAATGTCCAAAGACGTTTAGTATTTTCATTTATTTCTAATTCCATATTTTGACACAGAATGAAATTCAGGAACTCCGTCCATTCACAATGAAAAGGCACTGCCATATATGTGGGGTTTTCCCACACACTACTTAGAGCCCTGTTAGTTAATTCAATTACTTTTAATCCCCAATGTCACGTTTCTTCTAACCTCAGTCACCTAATCCAATAAATGACACAAAATAATAGACAATAGCTGAATAATCTCTATTGACAGAAAGGAGTCAAAACATTTAAGGCCACAAACTCAACACATTTTACTTACAAATGTGGTACTGTTTAAATTGAAGTCAGCAGGAACCTTGGATGGGCTGAAGGTAATGAAGAAATTATCTTCCCTCAACGTGTGATGCTGTGGTATAAGAAGAACAACACACACATTGAACAGGAAGATTTATTCTTTTTCTGTGTAATAAACACACTTCACATACAACATACTTAAGGTATCACATACTTCAGTAGAGAACCATTAGCTTCATTACATCAGAAATGTCTGTAATATCCCTTTAAACCAAACAATTCTTCTTTTAACATGCTCCATTATGAGTTCCATCAAATGACAAAATTAATTCACAAATAGCTTTTACTTCACTAAATCATATTAACTTTGTAGTTAGTGCTTTAAATCCAATACCATGTACCCTTTTCTTAGATATTTTGTATTTAACTATCAAAATAAAAAATGTATAAATTAGCTTTTAACCATTTTTATAGCTTTTACCATTTTTAATCAACACAAATGAAATATATTTTTAACATTTAAACATCTTAGATTTTAACCATATTAATTGTTTCAATAGAAGAATATTTTACATCTCACATAAAAAACTCTACTTTTTAATATAAAAGTGAAAAAGGAACAATACACCTTTAATGTTATTCCTCTGTGCTAAGCTTCACATATATGACCTAAATATATGGTTTATCCATTTCTTTTTCAACAAACCCATAAAGAAGCATCAAATTCATAAAATAAAGAAACCAAAATAATGTCCTTTGAGTGAGAACTGTCTCAAAATGTGCAAAACACAACATATCCAAAAGGAACTCCGCAGTCCTTCAGCTTCCCCTCAGCTAGCTCACACACGTAGAAGTCCGCTAGCATTAGCTCCAATTAGCCTTCAGAACATGTCCCGTTTTTGTACACAACAATCATAAAACGAACTACACAACTCATTAGTTGACATTCGGTTTAAGAACCTTTTAAACTCTTCAAGAGAACTATTTGCGTAAAAATTTCTACTGACCTGTGGTGTAAGAAGAACGACACACAAGTTGAGCTTCCCTTAACATTCAACAGGAACATTTATTCTTCTTCAGTGTGCTCAGTCTTCTCGACTGCCAACAACGCGACAGGCGCCCCTAGCGGTTGTGTGTGGAATTGCACGGAATTACCGAAATAACTGAAATGACAATGAGGAACTTATTACAACGAGAAATTAAAGATACAAAAATAAAAAAAATTATGTTGGGGTGCCCATTTTCTTCATTATTGTTTTCATTTCACCCCTCTACACAGGCTTTCCAACAGTATAAGATTTATTTTAGACTTGTAGCTTCCTTCTAAATAGCTTCTCACTTCCTTAGCCTTCCTCAGACTTTCCTTTTGAATATCTTACTGATACAAAAAGTCTTCTTTGCTCAGAAACAGCCTCTCCACCACATAGTGTTGCTACCATTCCTGACTTGAGAATACGACCATCTGATATAGTGTGTTAAATAATCGGAACAAGAAAGAACTATTGAATGTCCAATGAACTCGTCACAATGAAAATGAAAATTTGAATATTGAAGTCACCAGCATAGAAAAGCTGAATGCAACTCTTCTGTTTACGGTTATTTTGGAGAAGCATTGGTGTGATTATGCTGAAGGGAGAGTGTTGGAAAGGGCAAGAGGTTCTTAAAGGGACAGAGGCCAATTTCACAACACCAATTATGGCTATGCTGCAAATGGACATTACGAGTTACTTGATTTTTCTATAAAACGGTGCTATGTGCCTGGAAAATACATAAGACCTCCTCTTTAAAGGTAATTATAATTTCTTTGCATCTCATCAGACTAGAGTGTTTCATTTGAGGAAGATGTGTGTCCAGGTTTATCTACCGATGTGTTAAAACACAGTTTGTAAAACTATGTGGTCTTGTTTGCAGGTCATTAGTTTTTCCCAATTCATTTTTGTCTAGTTACTCATCTCTTGACAGCTTCATTTTTTTTTTATTTAAAGCACCCAGGCAACATTGCAGTTGCAAGGAGACCAGCATTGATGGAGACAAACAATACTCTCCAGTCCCCCAACAAATATATTCCCAACTGTGCAACACCGACACTCTGCAGATTACCTAACATTATTATCCTAGCATGTATTCTCCCTGTATAAATACAACAGTTTGTACCTTCCATGTTTTGACTGTAATTACAGAAAATGTTGGACAGACTCTATAGAATACCAATGAAAAAATTTGTGCACTGCATGCATCAGCTGATTAAGTTGTTTGCACAAAATGAAGCTACTCACTCTATCCACACACACGCATGACATGTCCACGCAACCACACACCCTCCCCTGGTGTTGAGGATATTTTCAATTAATCAGGCACTCTCATCAATAATGCATGGCCCCTGCAGCCAGTCACTCGTTTCCAGCCATTTAATGAGGCAGTCCTGCCGGAGGGACACCATCTACACATTACTCCCATTATAGAAAATGTTCAGGAGCAAACCCACCATGACCACAAATAGTTATTAAAGTAATGTCATAATTTTTTTGCCTTCAAGTCAAATCAGAAGCCGTCAAGGAGTGTCTGCAAAAGGATGCGGGTGACAATAAGCAAACACTCCGGGAGCCGGAGGTTCAGCCGCATCAGTGAAAAACTGATGCTGCTAAAAAAAATCTGCCAGAGGAACTCCGGAGATCAGACGAGGTTTGTCAGGACAGATAAATTATTAAAGTCACTTTACTGTGACTGAGGAACATGTCCCAGCTTGATAGCATTTTGTTTTAGATTGCAGCCCAGATTTAAGACATAACCAAGAGAGTCGGACAGCACCAGTTCAGAATGAACGTCAGAATAAACGTGCAATCTCTCTTTGATATTGTGGAAAGCAAACTGGGTTAGTTGTTTTGTAAGATATATTTCCTTGCATTAATAGAACAGCAATTTTACGGTTAGATAAAGTAGGGTATCTTTAAAACTTGCAAATGTAGTCTGGTGGTGAACATTCATTACAGTTTGCAAAGAGAAAAGAGTAGGGAGGGGATAAACACGCAGGAATAGTCAGTGCATCTGTTGCTAAAACGATAATAGCATCCAGTTGGTGCATTGCCCATTTGGGGCAAAGTAAGATCCAAAGGTAAGCCAGTTGGTGCAGAGATTCGTCTTTGAGCCATTATGTGATCCCAGAGGGTGGATGTAACTACTGAAAAATGGCTAAATTCAACAGTAGCGCTAGAAAAGCAACAGCAAAGGAGGTACTTTTCTCAGAAGCACAAATGATACCTAAAATCTTGTTAGCTGTAACATACATGACACGTTTGTATAGGTTTGTTGCAGACAGAGTAATATATTTTAAGTGTTTCTTTCTGTTCAATTCAACCGTTATGGGTTATGCTGGGTTAATTAAACCCTAAAATAATACAAAAAAGGATTATAAACAGCAAAATTGTTGTCCGTGACAACATCTCCCCAAACCTAACCTAACAGACTGATCTCTCTACTGCCACAGCTTAATATTAGAAAAACATTTCAGCTCCAGCTTGGATAATTTAATTGATAGACACGATCTGTTCTCTGGAGGCCAGTGTGGTTTTAGGAAAAATAAAACAGTTGGTTGTGTTGTTTCTTTGCAAAAGGTGCAAAAAATAAATGTAAATCTAAACCCATAACATCATCCAGGCTTTTCCTCATTGTTCAAAGAGACAGTAATCATTCTGGGTCAACTGATTCTGGAGATATAACTAAATAAATCTCTAATTTCTTTCATCATTGTGACATTTCACAAAACTTGTTAATTCTAACAGACAGAGAAGCAGACAATAGTTCACAATTATCCCAAGAAAAATAGCTGATTTCATGAAGCATATGACCTGAGAATATGAACCATCTGGCCGTCTATATTGATAAAATTTCAGAGAACAAGACAAGCTCACGGACGAGTGCCTCTTGGCTCCAGTAGCCTGCTGGAGTCGAGGTGCCTCTTTTAAAAATAGACCACCATTGTGTGAAGCTTAACTGAGCCAAGTGTGTGATGTTGAGGAAAAGTAAAACCATCAAAAGCAAACACAAAGAACTAGATTTTCTGGTCTTACATGCAGGTAGGACACTTATAGAGGAGCTCAGCTCAAAATCATAGGGCGGCCCGGCGACTGATGTGAAAGTCTGATTGTGCTACTCAGTCAGGTCGTCTGCCAGTTGTGGGCAGCAGATTTCAATTTCTGTCCTGCTGAAAGTCTGCTAGATAAAAATACGTACGTGAAGATGAGCAGCAGGAATCCTGCTCTGCTGTAATTTCAAAGGAACGCTGTGACCAATGTTATAAGGCCAGTTCCTCCTACTGAAATACATCAATTCCACTAATTAGAGATCAATGACTCATGCTTGATGTAATTAGTCCAGATTGGACGCCCCCACAAAAACTCAGACATATATTCATCCTCTTTTTTTCCCCCTCTTTCCATCGCCAATACCAGTTCTATTGTGTGCGACATAAAACATGAAAATAATCCCTCCGGGCAGACATGACCTGTCGAGACAAGGTTCAGAAGAGTGGTGGCCGCGGTAGCAGCCTGACAGCCGGGTTATGGTTTCTGCGTCCGGGTAATGAAGGAGTACTTAGTGTGTCATCCAGGAAAAGGGCCTCTGCCCCGTCTCTGTCTGTCTGTAGAAGAGCCAGCTGGATTCACCACCGCACCTCGGAATAAAAACATGTCTCAGACCTCTACCATGTCTACTTTTTCGCTTCGACGTGCTGTGACCTACGAAAACAGTTCGACAACGGCAGAATAACTTTATTGATGCAATTTGTTTCTCTTTCTTCATCCTTCACATCATTTTGCACACATCAACAGCCGGAGTGTTTGAATGAAATGAGTCTTTGGCAACAGCGCTTTTTAATATGAACAGCATAGTTTTCTAACCAGGGCCGATAGGGCAAGATGGAGGCAATACAAGCACTTGATACCGAGTCTTCTATGTAGTTGTGTGTACAGTTAGTGGAAAGTTTAGTGCGTAAAAACTGGCCACACACAGTGGGTTTGTGAATGATTGAAGTGTCTATCTAATTCATTTGTAAATTAAAGGATAATTTCACTTTGCACTGCATTTGATACATTCTGTGATGCACATGTAAGACTTGCAAAATGTAGAAATAGGTGCTAAAGCAACAGGTATAAGACAGACGAAGCACAGAGTGCTGTGAAAGCAACTTCAGGAGAGTAAAAGGTATACTTGACATTTTTGTATTACATATTACATCTTATGTAATATTCAAATAGTTCTGAGACGCTATATTTTTATTAGTTTAAGCCATCATTCAAAATTAACAGAAATATATACTTCCAATGGGCCTCTTCTATGAAGTTAACGTTTGTCGTCATAAGTGATGAAGGTGGGAAGGGACTGACGAACAGGGTGGGGCTTATTTAGAGTGTTGCTTTGAGTGGTTCAGTTTCCCAGAGAGATTACAAACTGTCCACAATAAGCAGAACAACAGAACATATCAGATAAAATGTCAACAACGACAAGCTAAGCTAACATGAAGCCGGGTTCTACTAAATGGTTTTGCTTTCCAAACTAGAGCAACTTCAATTATCTCCAGTTCTGTCATATTGCTGTGCAAAAAGAAAAGACAAATCTGTGTCCGCAGACTTTAATTCAATCGTCAGACAGAGTTTGACTTGAGAACCTTTTGTGGATGAACAGAGTGAAAGACTGGTAGAAAAACAAGTAGAAACTTTAAACAGAATCTACTGGTTTATGGAAGATTTAGCAAAACATCCATCTGAGAATACAACTTATATTCTGCAAAGCAGTTAGAGGGATTTCTTCTTCTAAAATAAAAGAGAGAAAATAACTCCTCAGGGGAACAAAAATGCATTAAAAATTTACGCTTTGGCCCTAAGAAGTGTTTTGATAAACAAGTTGAAAAGTATCAGAGTTAAGGGTGGCCTGAAGTGAAATTCCAGGAAGCCTCATCCGGTGTGATTTGCCTCTGTTATGCGACCAGACTGGGCTTCATTAGCAGTTGCCGCTGTGCTTTATTGGCACGGAAGATCCAATTTTCACTACAGAAATGACTTGCCACCAGCTGCAAATTGACAACGCGC